TTCTCGCTTAAGAAGAATTCAACGACGTCTCAGCAGCAGCAGCCATCTAGTTACACAAACAATCATGAAGACAAACAGACTCAGCAGATGTAGCATGTTTGTGTTTACGCATTCGATCGCTCTGCAATGCCTTCGATGACTGCCTAAGGAGAAGCAGCCAGCCAGCCAGCCAGCCATCCACAACAACACAATAAGAACCTCAGCAAAACGACAAATCCAAAATAACGATAGAAATCGATGAATTTCGACTTTTAAGCAACAACACTTGTTGACAAATCAGTCTCCACACATATATCACTTGCACAATTTCCATAATTCAACAATGCCAAACAACTCGTTTATGGTGGCATCGAAGCCAAAAAGTTTATGATATAAGGAGTAAAAATATTTTTCGTCTACCCAAAATTCATATACTCCTCTTCACCTAATAATTCTTGAAATATATCTCATACAAAAACACGCATTGTAACACTCAATCGTCCATAGTGATGTCAATCAGTTTAATGCACAAATACAGTAAGAATGAGTTCCTTGATTTGACATTTATCATTCATTTGACAGATGAACTGTTCATTTTCTTCTTTATTTTTTCATTTGTTTGATAAAAAATGTTCACTACATGACATCTTCGGTCTATTTTCGATCGTCCATTAATCATCGCATGGATCATTGTTTACAGCTGCGTTATGCATCATCGAAATCAAAAGATCAAACAATATATTTCTTATAAGTGTCTTGTATTATGCACTACTGTTATGGATGAATGAACTACGTGAAAACCGTTTTCACTAATACGAATGAATTTTCCTCGAAGTTTGAAATGCAATCGCCAACTCATTAATTAATCGTTGAAAAAAGAAGAGAATTTCTATTTTGTTCAAGAAATATTTGCGGAAAGCACTCGTTCTTCATAATCCATAAAGTATAATTTGGAATTTTCAGTTCGAACAATCGTCGTTGAACAACTTAAGCAACAGCAGCAGCAGCAGCAGCCACAATGGGAATAGCATGACATCATTACTGGCACGGCCAAGCAGTTCAATGCCAGGATCTCCATCGAAACCCAATGAGACGTCGCCAATCCCTTTGCCAAGATGTTACTCGATGGGCAAACAACAATACCATCCTCAGCACCATCATCAGCCACAGCCACAACAACAACAGCAACAAAAGCAGTTTCAGTTAAAGAGACCCCACCACAGTATCAGCAACAGTAATGATATGGCTGTTTTACGGTCGTTATGCAATGACACCGAAACACCCGAAGTGACCCCACCGGTGAAGCGACGAACCAAAACAATCGCTTGTTGTGACAGCGAACTTGACAGGAGGCTATTGGCTGCTGAAGGTTCGTTTCTAAGAAGTTGAAGCATAGTCATGATAACATTATGTCATCGGTTTGCCCTTCTGTTGATCGGCGTTCCACAACCTTAGATAATGACTGCTTGCATATCAACTCAGATAGCCCTAATGTAAATGAATGTTTTCAATGTAATAGTTGCGAATTCACAGTAGCATCACTATCGCATCAGACCTTCTAAAGCAGTTGTTCGTCAGTTACATTTTCCTGGTGTTCTCCGCTTCTAAGGGGTTGTGATCCTCTAATCGATTTGATTTTTTGGATTTAGAGAGCAGATGTACTATGTTTCTTTCGAGTTTGCACCTTAGAGTCTGTAGTGATCATTTTGAGAATGAAAAAAATGAATTGCAAGCGCTGCCGAACGAATGCAATCAAGTGAACTGAATATTTGCAGTGATGGCTTCAGGTCTGAAAGAGATGACACCGTCAATGGAACACAGACCACGTCGTTCTGGCAATAATACTTATCGATTCCTGAACGACTTTCACCATCGTTCCGGCAACAGGAAGAGCTCGAACGCTGATGGTGCTCTTAGCAGCAGCAGCAGTTATTCGACGCCAATGAGCGTCTCTAATCCGAAAGTAAACAACAACAACAATATTCCAACAACGTCGTCGTCGAACGCTGAATGCAATCAACAAATACCGAGCGGTGATCCGAATTCGCCGAATCGACATCATCCGCTTAACGTAAGTTGTTGATGAATGAATTAAACACAGTGCTTGAGTGGGGTCGATCAACTATAAACTCATCTCGCCGTATCATTTCAAAAATCAGCTCAATTCAATTTAATGAATGCTTTCTGTGAAAATACTCCAGTGCTTTAGCGAATATGTGACGGGTTTCCGTTCTTTATTTGGTTGATTGGTTTGCACATTTGAAAGAGTGAATATGTGGTTCGTCACTATCATTACTATCGCATGAAATCGGACAAGTCGAACTGAAAAGTTTGAAAAATTTTCAGCATCAGCCACCGGCAATGGAAGCACGTTTCTTGGAGTGTATGGCAGCGATAGTGTTACACTCGGACTTCTCCATTCCGACCACGTCGTCTCCGTCGAGCATTGAGGAAAGCAACTCGTCAGCATCACCACCAAATCAGAATGACACAAGCGATAGTCAACGCCAACAACAGCAACAATTGAACAAGTACGATTCACTGCAATCTCCGAAATCAGCAACAAATGAAGCTGCACAAAGCGAGTCGAATGAACGTAAAATATCTGACGAAGACGTTCCCTTAGAGATTGATCAGCATAGTCCAAAATGTCCGAAAAGTGACAATATGCAAACAGATGACGGTGATGACGATGATGACATAAGGATCATTGATGACAGTGATTTGTTTGTTATTAAAGATGATGCGGAGAAACAGGATCAGAGTCAAGAAAACGGCACTAAAAATCACAAAGATTCTAAAGGCTCAACGCCAATCAATCAACAAAACGACTCAGAATCTGGTGATGATATCGACATGGAACCGACCGATACCACAACCACCACCACAACAACAACGGAATCTACTCAACAACAACAACAACANGACCGTGGTCAGTCACCACCATTTCATTCAGTGCCATCGCTGGCCGTACCGGTGCCCATTCTGAATATTTTATTGGAACGAATTCTACACACAATGCTACAAACTTAAACGCATATATATGTGTACACATGTATTTATGTGATGATGTTGCTTCTTGATCTTCACAACAACACTGAACATCAAGAAACGGTATTTTGTCATTCATTCGTTTTACTTCCAGTAAAATTTCTTAGTTATTTTTCATAATTATACATTTTTCACTATATTACATTATACATATATACAATATATACATACTATAGATATTCTATATGATATTGTATACGTAATATATATTTATATGTATTGTAGGATTTGTTGTTATTATCGTGTCTGTATTATTAATAGTAATGAAGGAGAGGGGAACAGATTATTTATTTCGTCGTTTTCATTTGAGAATTTCTCGTTGATTTGCTTATTATTATCATTATTCTTTTTATTATCTTTATCATGATTTTGTTGTTGTTATTTTTATTGTTGTTGTGTATGAGTGGATGAAGTGAGGGATTCGAAAGTGTTCGAAAATAAATTCACTAGCATAGTAAATCACTTATATCGGAGAACAAGTTTATATCACAAAGGCGCTGTGAGAGTGACAAGGAAGGACAAGCAGTAGCTATCTACCTAATGCTTGCACTTACAATCCTATTGCTGTTATTCCACTCTTCACTCTGAAGTGTTTACTATTCCTATGGTTATAGTGAATTGTATGAGTGATTTCCTCGTTTTGTGACAGCCAACCAGCCAGCCAGCCACTCACAATTACATCAAGTAGAAGAGAAGATAGGCAGCAGCAGCAAATGGAAACACAAAAAAATGAAATGAAATGAAAAAATGC